GACTCCTCTGTGGGAAGGCCGGTGACCTGGCTGGTGCTGGATCTTGGGCCAGTCTCAGCTGAGTCCTTGTTCACACCAGGCCGGCCCCCTCACACACTCAGCTGCTCTTATTTTACTGTCTGGAGGTTTGATGACAGTGGTTCAGGACAAACACCATGGCCACTGTCTATTGCATGCCAGGTGTTCCTGGGAATGCTGATGTCCGGATTCTCAATCTGTAATCACACCTCTACAAGGAAACAGGTTTGAAGAAAACAGGCTTTGGTTCACATGTGTTCAAGGAGACCGGGGGCAGTGCAGGGAAAACATCAGCTGCAATCCAAAAGGTCAGTGTTTTGAGACCCTGCAGACACCCTGTGGGCTGCTCTCTGTCCCCCAGGACTGACCCACTGTCATCGTGGTTGCTTCTGGTGAGTTGTGTCCAAATGCTGACCTGATTATAGGATCTAGCTGGCAGGTGACACCCACGTAAAGGCAGGAAGAGGACACCCTGTCATGTGCAAGAAGAGGGCACCAGGCTGAGTGCTTGGCTCCGAAGCTGGGGTTCCTGGACAGAATAGGAGCATCGCAGTGCAGCATATGGGTCTGGTGCCCACCACTGAGGGGCAGCGCCTCCAGCATTCAGCCTCCTGGGGAGGAGGACTAGAGGTCATGGTCAGCAGGGCCAGAATTGAGAGATGGGCATTTCACAGGCACCTGGAGGGCAGCTCATGACCTGTCCCCAAGAACTGCTCCCTTGGGAGTTCAAGGCAAGGACATGGGAAGGCTTCCTTCTCAGCCATCCTCCTGGACGCTGAAACTCCAGACCGCTGTGACTGTGGGGATAGTGACACTGCCATACAGGAGTGTTTAGGAAAATAACACAAAGTAAGAACTCAGCTCTTGCGGCCTAGGGGTTCAGGAGTGACGGTGCCAACCCCAAGGCAAATGGCTGGAACCGACCAGCTGCTCCATGGGAGAAAGATGGACCCTCCTCCCGAGCAGTGTACAGCCTCGGAAAAGCTGCTGGAGGTCAGTCACGAGGCAGTCCCCACTTGAGGGCAACGGGGGCTGGACCTCACCATTGTCACACCCCAGCCCAGCTTTTGTCAGGAATGGTTTCCAAGCTCACGGTACAGATTTCACCTTAAGCATTATGCCCTGTCTCCTGCAGCGCTGGGCCTGAGACATCCTACAGGGCTCTGACCTGCTCCTGTCTCTTCTGACGGTTCTCCTGATGGGCTTTTGCCCTTCAGGGGGCACCAGCGATGCCTGGTGACTTGCAACATTCAAGTCTGATGCAGGAGGGCTAGGGTGCCCACCGAGATCTTGCACAAAAAATGGGGCGGATCTCTGGGGATCTGATACAGTGGGCTGCATTTGGTCCTGAGACAGCCCTTCTCCAACTAGAAAACGTCAGGCACTCCTCCAAGTCCTCCTCCTGTCTCCTGTGCAGGCACTGGTATATTCGATGGTAACACACAGGGACTACTGTCAATTTAGAGGGGAGCTCTGGTGGTGGTTAGGTAAGCGCTGAGTTGCTAATCCCAAGGTCAGCAGCTGGAACTCACCATGGACTGTGAAGGAGAAAGCAGAGGCAGCTGTCAGATTTATAGCCTCCAGGACAGAACCAATGGAGGGTCACCTTGACTTGATGATACTGGCTTTGATTCTGTCTGTCCCTTTATAGACAAACCCAAATTCCCTCCCACTTTTGTGTACCACTGAGTAGGATTCCAACTGGCACAGGAGATTGCCTTTCCTTCTCCAGCAGAGCATCTGGTGGATTTGAATGGACCCAAATTCTTATGCGAATCCATCACTTGACTGATGTCCTGTGAAATGCCACTCATGCTGGGCCACATTCACACGCCAGTCAATATGGACGTTCTCAAGTCATTGACTCCATCTTCTCCTAGCACCCACGTCCTAAAGCAAAGCACCATGGATGGTCTTAGGTGTGGATGAGATGAGAATAGACTGAAAGCCAATCTGTATGCAGTCATGCTCACGTTCAAGTTGATCTAAGATCCCATCAACGTGGCAGGCCTAGAAAGCATGGTCCCCTAAGTGCTCAAGGTCCAGTGAGTCGGGGCACCTCTGACCTCCAAGGGAGATGCAGCCCTGCAGCCCCAGGAATGTCAGCAGCTGTCAGTAAACTGACGAGGACAGTGGACACGTCCAGTGACACCAAGGATGCGGATGCAGCAGCAGACCCTTCAACGGAGAGGGGGGTCTACCCCAACCAAATCCTCCAGAGTCTGTTCCCGCTGCAGTTTTCCAAGCAGTGGGATACAGGAGGCCCAGCGAACTAAAAGCCTGACCAACCAGTGCCGGGCAGTGCTGGCGGCAGGACAGAGTAAAACCGACTCATCAGCTGTAGCACAATTCAAGTTTATTCCATTTGTTCTTGCAACACAAAACTTAAACACAGTTATTATTTAGCATTCAGATGTACATGAACTAGAGTAATATGAGAAACCCAACTGTGTCAAAAAGATTGCCTGGTGGGAAGAAGGAACTCCACCCTGGGAGGTCACACACAGCACTGGCCTCCTTGGACTGCTGCTGGAGTGGGAGAGCTTCTCCGTTTCCGGGGCCCCATACGGCGGCCTGAAGCTCCGGGGTTCTGCATGCAAACACTGCGCGGGTGCTCTCAGCAAAGAAACAACAGCCCAGGGGTCGTTTCCGTTGACATTAAGGAAACAAAAATCCAATGGGAATGGAGAGCCTTAGAATGCACCCTTTAGGGGAATGGAAACCGGGCCTCCGGGCCCTGGGCCCTGGGCGGCTCCCTCCCTCTGCTCTCTGCCCAGCAGGGAGGTGCCCTGAGGTGCCTCCAGGAGCTGCCCCCACCCGCCAAGCATACAGGGACCAGTCTGAAGCTGTAGGGGGTGGATCAGAGTCCAGATAGGCCAAGCGCCCATGTGAACGCGATAGAATGAATGAATGCCTCCGAAACAAGGGAGTGAACTCAAACCAGGGACATGCAAGACCTTTTGAGATGCTAGGTATTACTCTGATGGAAGACACAATGGACTTGACCTTCACTAATGCATGTAGTACCCAAACTGCAGACACTGTTTAGCTTCCTTTACTCAGAATACGAACACTAAGTGTGGTGAATGTCTCTGCCAAGTGGTTCAGAAATATATCATAAATAACCTAGTTAAAGAAAGAAAGGGAGAAAATGCACCCTCGTGGTCAGTCTATTCTAGCTATGTGTTTATGCTGTTTTTGCAAGCAAGGCTTCATAATGACGGATTTTACAAAATGATCGAGGAGAGGAGGGGAGGTGAGCCAGCCTCGACTGCATTACAAGGAGCGTGGGGACAAACTGTACAAAGAGCCCGGGGCCACGCACAGGTGACAGTGACAGGACCATCACCCCACGCTGGCCAACCACAACACAACATGCGCAGAGGCGAGCGGAGGAAGGGGAGAAGCATCAAGCATGGTGACCGCCATCATGCCGCGAGGCTGCACCGCACCCATGTCCCAGATGGACAGAGCGCCCCCACGACAGCGGGGTGGTCCCAGTGACGCCAGGAAATACCAAGTACTGCCCTCCGGCACAATGCTAACCGCCAAGTCCGTGGAAGCACGGAGCCACCACGGTGTGATTGTTTCCTTGGTCTAGGGAGAATTCCAAGGTTGGGATAGTTGTGAGTGTAAAAGCCACAGGATTAAAAAAGGGGAAAAACACACACACGCGCACTCACCCCCACAAGCACACGCCACTCAAACACCCCCTCAGTAATTTGTCAGCTGTTCCGGCAAACCATTCAGCCCTGCTGTAGAACGCTACACTGCCAACACCCCCAATCACCAATTCCTTCATATTCCACATCTGAACACAAGCCCCTATCCCGCCCCACCCCCCTTTTTAAAAATTTGAGGTACATTCAATTATTGCATGACTTGGCTAAGGAGACCCCGAGTATTTGCAGGCTTCGATACGGACGGCGAGTCAGCAGTCGTGGCCTGACGTCCCTGCTTGTGCAGCAGACACGGGGGAACGCGGAGATCCCGTCTATGCTTGGTGCTCTACCTTCACAGGACACAACGGGAAGGTGTCACCTTGATTCTTTCAAGGAAATGGGAACACTTTTGGTGGGTGGGCTGGATCTGCTCAGAGAAGTCTGCCCACCACTCAGGGGATCTGGTATCAAGCATTTTTTTTTGAGAGATGGGGTTAAATTTGCCTAAATCGTAAATCTCCCCCCAGGGGTAGCTTTGGTGCAGCAGTCAGTGACGTGGCGTCCCGGTGTGTCTGAGAAGTGCTCCCAGGACGCTCCCAGATCCTTCAACACAACCGAGCCCGAGCCACTCACACAGCAGAGGAAGAGAATCCTAGGTACCATGATGTCTCTCTTTTTGTAGGATACTAACAGGCTTATGGCTATAATTTTATTTTTAAATTCCTTCTTATTACTACCAGCAGGAGTCTGAAAAGTATTTCAATGTTATTCTACAAAGGTCTGAACCTACAGGAGAAAAAAAAAACTATGCATACTGGAATGATTTCTCCTTGAGACTTTCAAAATTTATGAGTTTTATAAATACAACTAGTCAGTTTTATCTAAAGACACACGGGATCCAAGGGGAGAGGAAACCCAAAGTGGAGCTGTCCAGGCGTGTGGGGTGCGAGCCCCTCACCTCGACTGAGCGCAGCACCGAGGAGAGGTTTGGTCACCAACCACAGGCAGCGCTCGTCACTGTGCCCCAGGTCCCGGGGGGGGGGTGTACTCTTAAGGCAGAAGGTTAGAGCGGATAGCTTATCCCAGCACCCCGAGTCTCCCCCGCAGCCGCCCGTGGCACAGGCACTCGGACCCTGACACAGCCTAGTTGACAAATTAGCTAGGGAGCCGGAGGGTCAGGTGGCAGCGGTCTGCTGTGGCCGCTCGCCCGTGCCCGGGCGGAAGCAGTGGGTTAGTCGAGCTGGAAGAGGTGGACTGAGCAGAAATCCTGGCGACGTCTGGTCAGCTCCTCTCCCTCCTCTACTACCTCGTGCTGGTCCCGGTGGTCGGACTGGTTACGGACCGCTCTCCCCTCACCCCTCATAAAGTATTTAGCTGAAGAAGCTGGCAGATAGAGTGACAGACAGACAGGCAGCAGTGAGGCACAGGAGAGTCGTCCCTCGGGCGCTGGGCGCCCATCACTGGAGCAGGGCTTTGATGGCCTGGTTGTCGGTGGCTTCAAGGGCGGTCAGTCCATCTGGGCCTCTCACAGTCTTGTCAGCACCCTGCAGAGAGAGGAAAGTGCTGTTATCACTGCCAGGCAAGCTGGGGACAGGAGGCGAGAAGCTGAGGCTGGATGACGTGACGTGACGTGGCTGCTGCTGGAGTTGAGTGAGAATTCCTCTATTAATGACTGGAGCTCACAGACCAACTAGCAAACGGTCATGTTGTTTTTCAGGCTTTGGGACTGGAGGACACGGACACAGCCACACCCCCCGCACTGCCTGTGTACGGTCATGTGTGCACCTGTCTACAGTCACTGTTGCGCTCACCGGACTCGGGATTTCCAGGGCCAGGCCTCTAGAGAAGGAGCCCGCCATCACCTCCCCGTCCCGTGGAGCGCCTGGTGGGTTCCAACTCCTGAGCTTTAGGGCAGCACAGCCAAACGCTTTATCCGCCGCACCACCAGGCCACCTCTTACCTTTATCGTCTCTAAGTTGACTTAGACTTCTCTCCTTCACACATTGCTGCAAATGACGGCAAATGTGTTTCTAAGCATGGTCGTCAACTTAAAAAGTGTGCAGCAACGTATTAATCTTTTCCCTGCCCCCACCCCCAATCTTCTGATATGAGATTCTGTTTCCTTTCTCAGGGACCCCTAAAGCCTGCCAGCTGGGTAACATGTTGGGTATCCCATGGAGTGCCTCCCCCCTTTTCTTTGGCAAACTCATCCAGCCTTGCCCAGGTGTGCACCGAAAGCCCGCCGTGGAGACACCTGTGTGAGCACTGCAGGGGGGATGGAGAAGCACGGAGAGTGGGCAATGACCCGGACCCAGCGGGCTGGCCGTCAGGCAGGGCGTGGGGGGAGGCCTGGAGGCCGCCTGATGGACAAGGATGGGGGCGCTGGTGAGCGGGGAGGACAGTAAGAGGTGAGAGAAGGGGTTTAGCCGTCACAGCCCTCCATGGACTCTTGTGACGTCTTTGTTCAGTCACTAAATGGGTTCTGAAGCCACTTCAGAAGACATGAGGCTCCTGGTCTAGTGGATGAGACCCAAGTGAGGACGTCAAGAGACACTTTCTGGTGGTCACCAGGTCACCGCACTGAAAACAAATAACCACATCAATCCCCTCTCGAGCGTCAGATGCGTTTGAACTGCCCAAGCGCACCATCCTCCTCTTAAGAACAGCACTCCATAGCCACGTGGGGACAGTTCTCCCACTGGATGGAAGGAGTCCTGTGGGAGCCATCAGGTACACCTTCCTATCCAAGCATCCAAGACAAAGGATTTCGCCCAGGCTAGGCTGTGAGGTTGCCCACTGCTGCATTTCAAATCTTGAATGGAGAGAAAGTTCAAACTCATCTAATCTCCCACTGGAAGCAGGGTGCCAAGTGTCTGCTTCTCAGGGCCCCTCTAGTGCTGGGGCACCCACATTCACCTCAGCTGTCCTGACCACGTGGACTGGTTCAATATTCTCACTTCTTTTCTACCTGTTAAAGCCAATTTCTTTTATTAAAAAAAAAAAAAAAAGAAGGAAGTAAAACCTTTTCCTAGTAACATAAATTTATCACAGAAAACTTACAACACACAAACAAAAAGCCCTAACACTGATAATTCTCCAAGTCAGACAAACCGATTACTACTGCTGCGTTTTCTTCTACTCATTTGTTCTAAATATGTGTACTTATGCCTTTCTCTTAAAGATAAATGAGTCATCCATCAGGAGTTTAATTTAGAGCTCAGTCAGGGGACCAGCATCTTCTGCAGGAGGAAGAGGCAGCCGTGGTGAGGGGAGGCCTGAGTGAAGGCTGTGGCCAATCTGGGGGGGTGGCAGCTTCCAGGCACCGCATGCCATTTAGAAGTCTTATCAGGTGGTAATTACATACGAATAGACAGCATCTGAGTAAATATAGGATTTTTTTGAGTCCTTGAATAGTTTCCAGTGTGGTTCAGAAAGACACACTGCACAGGGACAAAAGAGGAACGGAATCTTCATCTGCTTGTGTGTTAACTTATCTGCTTCTGAGCTCAGAGGGCCAGTCCGACCTCCTTCACAGCACTGAGTCTCAGCACGTCCAAACAGCCAAGGAAAACAGCATGAGGAACATTTCAAGATGGAACTCTGAAACGTTCCGTGAGCTTCCATGTTATCTTAACCGCCCCAAAGGTTTCTGTGGTGAAGATACGGTTTATCATTATATTGATCAACCTAAGAACAGCAGCTTTGTTTCAGTATAAAACATGCAAAATCAATTAAAGAATTAGCACTTTAATATCGATGGCTAGGCTAGCCAACTACATAAAATACTCAGATCATATCAAACGAAACATTTGCTTGTAAGTTCTTTAAAGTCTTGATACACATTTCTGTATGAGGTGCTTCACCCTGGTTACAACCACAATGCAGGTTTCACAAGCCATGCTGTGAAATGTATAAAGTAAAAAAACCTAACCACCGTGATTTGGAGCAACTTACTTGTGGGAAGAAAAGAGGTTAGAAGCAGACACCACAAAGGCTGGCAGCTGCCCCGGGACGGGGCTCGGAACCGCGCTGTAGGGCACTTTATGGTGCACACACTGGAGGGGTTTGGATTAAAAAGTGGATCTGAGAGTTTCACGGAAAAAGCTGGCCACGGCCCACACAGTCCATCCCACCGAATGAGAAACTTCTGGTTCATACCCAGATTTCCCCCTCCAAGTCCAGCCAACAGCAAACAGGAAGAGAGGGAAACCGACCTTTGAAGGCGTACACTGCAGCAGCACCCACATGACAAGCTTGGGAGGACTGTCGCACGAAGAGTCACATCCAACCACCACCAAAGCCCAGCTGTGAACCCAGCTCTTCAGCGTAAGGACAGATTGCCCTCCCACCTCTACTGACCCCAGGGCTTGCTGCCACCCAGTCCGCAAAGACAGACTTAACTATGTCTTATCTACTCTGCAGAGGAGAAAATTGTATTATAGCCTTAAGACTTCATCCAAAACAGAAAAAATGTTTCATCTTTAGTGTTTATTACCATCTGGGATGAAATCCCGTGTACCTGTCTACTGCGGCTCTCTCTACAAAGAACTCTGAGGCAGGGAAGGCAGAGGAAGTAACCACACTGCTCACCCCTAAACCCTGAGTTTTAGAATAAATACGGCATACAGGTTGTCTTCAACATCCAACGAAGTCCTCAGGTTAAGTCAGTTCATTATTAAATGGACTCCGATGATGAACAAGAGTAGAATGATGCTGACATTTCGTCAGCTGTTCTAACAGCACGGCCTGTAGAAGGTTCTGGACTACCTGCTGCCGTGAGAACATGAGTTGAGAGCTGTCCTCAGCTCACTCCTTTCCTTCCTTCACGCAAACACTTGACTGCTTTCCTCATCTGTGAACCAAGGTGAGCAGCGCCTGGGCGCAGGGTTTTAAGTAAAGCTTCATTTAGAAAAAGATCCAATGCATCTTTGAATGAAAAGAACATTCTGTGTCTACTTCTCTCCTCCTCCACCTTGTGCAGCTCACCCCTGCATTTTCCGGCAGTTCAGTATCAGTGTCCCTGGCCCAGTTACATAAACCACATCTTCCTTGGAAGTGATCAAAGTTGCTCTCACTGGCGTTCAAGGCCTTGTACCTTCCTCGTCCTCCACTCGAGGACGAGATGCTCTCGCTCCCGTGAAGGCGGGAAGCTCCTCTGCTTTTGGCATCTGTCTTCACCAGCTACCACCTCGTGGACGGGCCCTCCACTACTTTGCTATCACTGTCAATGGCTCCTTTAACTGCCTCCAAAATCCTCTTCTCCTCACTGGCAGTCAAAACAGTGGGACGAGACATTCATTCCTCACGTGCTAGTTTACTCTTTGCATTATCCTGGACCTCAAAGATCTACCTCTCTGTATCTGTTTCAAGGCTTCCTCGTCTTTGTTTAAATCCCATGGTTTGAGCAGTCCATCATAAAACCGAACATCTGAGAACGAGTAACACTAGCAAAGTGCGTGGTGTGACACGGTATTCAGTCACTGCCATCCAATCAAAACTGACTCACTTCTGGCAGCTGGAAACTGCAAGGGAGGAGACCCACTGCCCCGGAACACTAGAGGATTTGAACACCAGTGTGGTGCAGCCTGTGGCCCAGCAGCACAGTTCCCTACAGACTACACAATGAGAGCTCCCTAACACTGCACTAGGTAGTACTTATTACTGAGGATAACAAGCTCTAAGGACAACCTCAAGTGCAAACGGCTGTAACTTCAACACTACATCAGCAGGGACTATTTCTGCTTCCTCGATCTGATGGCCAATATCCTCTGCTGCCAGAGTTGTGCTGTTGGTTCCAACTCTAGCTGAAATGACAGAGCTGAGCAATTGTGAAAAAGACCTTGTCTGCCAAGGAAAACACTGCCTATTCCTTTGCAGAACTGTTTGCTGAGAAAATCTTTGGAAAAGCTGGGCTCTAGGAATAACGAGGCGGCATTAGGAGTTGAGGAAGATTTGCCAATAACCTTTGTTGTGCAGAGAACACAACCCTTGCTTGCTGAAAGGGAGGATAATCTGAAAACACTTGCTGCAGAAGATCAAACAATATGGATGCATCTCAATGTCAAGAAAACAGAAACTCTCATCACCTCGGGGCCAAGAGGCAAGTATCATGATGATGCCGATTGCCATCGAATCGATCAGGACTCACAGCAACCCTACGAACAAAAGATCTGACGTCTTAACTGTAACTGTCGTCCTTTCTCCAAGTTCATAGTTTCCATTAGCATGTGGTTTAGGAAGCTGATGCCACTCCAGCTTCCAAACCTGTCTTAAACCGGGAGCTCCACCAAACACTGTCCACCAGGGGTAACCGTTATGGCATCTGACACTCCAGTGTCACAAGGCTCAGCATTACCACAAACCCAGGTTACCTCAGTACAGCAAACTGACAGAAGAGTGCTGTACAACTTAGAAGTATGTTCCTTCAAAATGTAACATCAAGAGATGGACAAAAGACTGAAGTGTCAATGAGTTTATCTTACTCTGATCCACAATCAATATGTTTGTTATCAGGAGATGTACTGCAATGAGAAAAGTCTCCAGT